TCTATCTATCTATCTATCTATCTATCTATCTATCTATCTATCTATCTATCTATCTATCAACCTAAAGTTAGCTTTTAATTGGCATTAGTAATGATGGCATGAACATATTGTACTGGGCCGGGTTGTTGTACTGATCTGTTGGTCCTTCTCAAAACAGAAGAACCAACAATACAATCAGACTGAACCTCATCGAAAAGTTACAAAACTAGAATTGAAATTCGTGCTAAACCTGGGAACCGTTAGCTTAGTCGAGCTTTGACTAACCCGGCCCACAATTTGATAGCTAATACAGCAATTGATCATTTTTCTTTCTTGTACAGAAACACCAGGAAACGCAATGTCCTTCGGTCTTGATTGTTTGCCCAGAGTGTAACAGGAAGGACATTCCTCGTGCACAGGTGAGCTCATCGCCCATTTTAATTTACTAATTTTGCGCCAAGGTGGATACGATTGCGTTTTGACGTTTTTTAATGAAATTATTTTATCTAAATTGTTTTATTTACCTTCCAGATATCTGCTCATCTTGATCCAATGGCCGGAGACTGCGAAGAGATGCAAACACCTTGTCCATTGACGCAGATTGGATGCTCTGAAACTAAAGTCTGCTTGTTACTTTTATTTTGATTTGTCAATTAACCAATCACACCTCCCTATGGTACATGTGAGGCCTTTCAGAAAANTCGGTCTTGATTGTTTGCCCAGAGTGTAACAGGAAGGACATTCCTCGTGCACAGGTGAGCTCATCACCCATTTCTACTAATTTTGTGTTAGGGTGGATAAGATTGCGTTTTGACGGTTTTTTTATGCAATTATTTTATCTAAATAGCTTTATTTACCTTCCAGATGTCTGCTCATCTTGATCCAATGTCCGGAGACTGCGAAGAGATGCAAGCACCTTGTCCATTGACGCAGATTGGATGCTCTGAAACTAAAGTCTGCTTGTTACTTTTATTTTGATTTGTCAATTAACCAATCACACCTCCCTATGGTACATGTGAGGCCTTTCAGAAAGTTTGTTCTCGGGTCAAACGATTACTTCTGACAACCTGCTGTTTTACTTCGAGTTTTTCTAAGTCTTGAAGTTATCATTGAGCCTACTTATACATGATATTAGAGAATTAAAGTATTAAAAAGAAATACAGTTCACTCCATTGGAAATGCTCGCACACTACTTCTATTTACGATTTCAGTCTTAAACTATCATAAAACGATCGCGTTACTAACCGCAGAGAACTGGGCAGTGAGTCTTCTGATACAACTCAAAGAGTCAATAATTAAACGCGTAAAGCATTGTCCATGGTAGAATTTGTTTGTTTTATTGATTTTTATTGGCATTGAGATTTTTCTTGTGCAAGGATTACAGAAAAGGGGAAGTAAACAAAACTACTTATAGATTTAAGGTTGACGTAAAACATTAGAGATAAGAAATTCTATTAATTGCATAAGTTGTGCTTATTCATCTCTTTTCTTTCTCTGTCCATTTTCTAGGCCATGAAGCTGAAAGAAAGGAGAATTCATGAAGAGAGTGCCAGTGCTGGTCACGTGATGCTCCTCTTTCAATCAGTCATGCAACTCTTCTCTGTGGTTGGCAGAACCTTGCAGGGTTCCAATCAAGTCAATGTCAGCGAGTTGAATCTACCATCTCAAGAAGAATTGGAGAGATGCGTTAAACAAGTGGAGAACGCAATGAAAGAGAACAAAGAGTTGAAATCAAAATTGTCGCAGCAAGAAAACCGTATTCGACAGCTGGAAGGCGCAAGACAGGGAGAGCCAGTTATTGCAGGCTCAGCATCGGGGCAAGAATCAACGAGGGAGCTGTCCCGGAGAATTGATAACGAAGAGGCAAAAACAGCTGACCTAGAAGTTCTCATCGTTGAAGGGAATCGGCAAAATGAAGATCTTCAGCGGCAAGTTGCTACCTTAGCAAGAGGGCAGGAAAGTTCCAAGGAAACAATAAACCGCTTACAAAGGCAGTTTGAGTCCGTAAGTCACTCGCTGGCTTTGCGAAATGTTACACTAAGTGATTTGGAGGAATATGTCCGACAGCAGGATGTATCCAGCCACGACGGAATCTTATTATGGAAAATTTCCGACTTCACTAGGAGAAGACAAGATGCACTCTCTGGAAATCAGGTGTCTTTTTACAGTCCGTGTTTCTTCACCAGTCGTTATGGATACAAGATGTGCGCGCGCATCTATTTAAATGGCGACGGCATTGGCAAAGGAACTCACATCTCGATCTTCTTTGTTGTCATGCGCGGTCAGTATGACGCTTTACTCCGCTGGCCATTCAGACAGAAGGTCACCTTCATGTTATTGGATCAGGATAACGTTGAACACGTGATCGATGCCTTCAGACCTGATCCCAGCAGCTCCTCCTTCCAGAGACCAAGAAGAGAAACCAACATCGCCAGCGGATGTCCCACCTTCTGCCCTCTATCCGAGTTAAACAACCACGCCTATGNAGAGACCAAGAAGAGAAACCAACATCGCCAGCGGATGTCCCACCTTCTGCCCTCTATCCGAGTTAAACAATCACGCCTACGTCCGAGATGACACCATGTTCTTGAAGATTATTGTTGACACCACAGATCTGTGAAGCTATTACGATCTCGTAGACTGGTCAAAAGTACGGTTTGCTGATATTAGAAACTCAAGTACTGCAACTACACATTTCCCAATGCATGTGATTTGAATTATGTCAACAGACAAAGGTAAAGGCCGGTATACAAAGTGTATGCACGTCTAAGTCAAAACACTTGAAAAGTTTGGCGTGAACCGCAAAACAATCGACCGATAGATCAGAAGTCCTTTACTGAATCGAAAGGAACATTGTATTAATACGAGTGATAATCAATATTGTTCGAGAGGAAGGACAACAATGTTGATAATCTAAAATATGAAACAACCATGAAGGTTATTAGTAGTTTTAAACATTTATTGGAATATCGCAAATGGCCCTGGCCTGGCCCTAAAAGGTGTACCCTTTAGCAGATTTACAAATGGCTAAAATATTTATGGATAACGAAGCGATTATCGGGCGTTATATATTTCCATGTTCCTGGGACTCGCTGCGCACGTTAAGGAAAATGGAAGACAACTGCCGAAATTATAAGATTCTCGAAAACTTGGACTCGTTTCGTAAAGCTGAATAGAACTATAGATTTAAGGAATCCTTGCAACTTGAAGTGACAAGTCCATGATTCATACTATTTAAGTGCGATAATGACGAACGGAATCGAGTTCGTTCCGGAAGGGTTATTAGTTTGCTGCTTGATTTGTTTTGTATTTGACTTTTAATATTTATTTTAAGTGAAAATCACTTTAAATAAAGACTTTAAGGAAAACGACCACTTTTTTAAGTTTAAAAGACATGTTTCGACAGAACTTCTGTCATGTTCAGTTGAATGAATGATTACAAAGCAAGTTGAATAATAAGTAGGCAAAAATGCTAATTAAGACAAATAGTAACAACAGAACGTGAAAAGGTATGAATTAAAAGGATAATTTTAGATTTACATGGTGTAATTGCTGATTGAGGCAAGGTAGTTCTTTTTGAATATGGATAGCCTCCT